GTCTTTACGTACCCCTTTTTAAAGAGTAGCTATTTAATCGTTTGGGCCTTTATCTCCACTTTTCCTGGGGGCATAATACTTAAATTAGTTGATTATGCTTCGAGTTCCCTGAAGCCGTTCCCCCAAGACCCTAACTATTACGAGGTGGCTGAAGCCCCTTTTTTTCCACTTTCCGAGGGCATCCCTAGGAAATTTTGTCTGACCGTGGGGCACAAATTACATGTGACTTAATGCAACATCTATACCAACTTTCTGGGAGTGAACCTCTCTTACCACACCCTACATCCCCCGCGTAATGGGAGGATTGAGCGCCGCATTCGATTCTCAGTCATTTTAAGGAAAAATTTGTCCCCTTTAAAACCCAAGGGGAGGCATCGTTACCTACCCGGCTTTGTTTGCCAGAGGGAAGTTCCCCGTGATCTTTGGGGGTTTTAAAATTTGAACTTCCTTTTGGTAGACAACCAGAGGTCCACTGTCACCTTTAGACTTTGGACTAATGGGGGGGGGTGCTGAGGGTTTAGTTTTCTACCAGTTTTCCTTGACCTTAGATCCAAACTTGAGGGAAAACCCGACATAGTTTTGAAAAAACTAGCTTTCAAGGACCCTACAAACCCATTTGATTTCCCAAAAATCAAGGGGGGAAGTTTTTAAAAAGGGGATGAAGTTCTTGTACTTTTGCCTATCAAAGTCAAATAAATTATTAGTAGCTGGAAAGGGCCATATAAAGATTAAAAAAATTTTGGGAAAAATTTACTACTTATAATCAGGGGGAAACCTAAGCTTTTAAACATATCAAATCCTTAAGAAAAATTTTCCCAAAAAAATTCGGTTTAAATGCCTTAATAAATTCGACTTAGTTTCTCCACACGAATTTATAAGACAAACTGAAGAAAGTAAGGTGTGTGTAATTGACACCTCTAAATTAGACATGTGAAGAAATACATTTGGGGACTCTTGACCACTCGGAGCAACCACATTAATATTATAATCTTTTGGGGCCATAAAAAGGGCATGAAATATTCAATGTGTATAACTTTTTAGACCTTTATGATATTCCGGTGTTCCCCCACGGAGCCATAAGATTGATTAGTGACGGCAATTATCAAACAAAATTACATCCAGTTCCGTTCACCTTAGGGGTGCATTTTACCCAGAGGGAGCCAAATTTTTAAAACTAAAGATCATTGAACCCTTTAGATCTGCATATTGCTCACCGTAGTCATGGTTAAGAAGGAGGATTTATTAGATTGCATTTACTTCACAGGGTTAAAGCTATCACTCGGTGGGATGCTGAGCCTATGCCCCTTTTAGATAGTGTTCCAAAAAATTTTTTTGACTCTTTCCCTTTTTTCAGAGATTGAATTGCACAGGGGATATCATCAAGTAAAGTTAGATCCTTTTCTAAGCATCACCACTTTTCCTACCCCCAAGGACTGATGCAGTATAGAACATGCCCTTCGGTTTGGTAACCCCCTGTGTACCACTGAGACTGATGAGAAGGCTTGGGGAAAATTTTCCAAATGTTTCAGTTTATTTTGAAAAATTTACTAAGACATCCACGGGGCGGATATCCAAAAATTAACATCGTTTTTCGTAGGGTTTCGCTCACAGGCCTCCTGCCCGCCCAAGAAAAGCTTTTTGGGTATAACAAATTAGATACTTGGACTGATACTTTCTAATAACTCTCTGCAGCTTTCCCAGTAAGATCAAGTTTTTTAGAATTTAAATTCCCAAAACCAAAAAGCTCATGCGTGTTTTCTTGGTTTGAATTTTTTATGCACAGTTTATCCAAAACCTTTTGATCTTACATGCATCTTATCCGCTTCCTAAAAAAGTCTGTGAAAGGGAACCCCTTGAACTTTCCACGTAGCTCAGGGAAAAATTTTAATGAGATTAAAAAATATCTTTTTTGAAGACCCTATACTTAAGATTCCAGATATTAATAAAACATTTTATTTAAGAACTGATGCCTCCAATACTGGCTTAGGTGCGGTGTTACTACAATACCATGATGGTACTCCCTTCCCTGTATGCTTCCTAAGCCGGAAACTCCTATCCACAGAAACGAGATACTCCACCATAGAAAAGGAATGTTTGGCCCTTGTGTGGGGTATCTCCAAACTTAAATTTTATTTGCTGGGAAAAGAATTCATTTTAGAAACGGACCACAAACCTTTGATATACCTAGAAACTTTTAAGGGAACCAACAGTCACCTCTTGAGGTGGACATTGGCACTCCAGGCTTTTAAGTTCCATATTGTATATATCAATGGTTCATCCAATTATTTCTCTGACTGGTTAAGTCGTGACAGTCAGTAGAAGATTTGTTGCCTTACGCGACTTCCACATGTTAGAACTTTTTCCTCACCTATTCTTCTTATACTCCTTGACTATAAGTCTTGGCATGGGGGAGTGTGAGGGAAAAGTTCAATAGATAGGAGTAGCGAGGGAGTATATAGTAACAATAGTTTCATTGCCGGCTACTTGTTAAGGTAGGGTAAGTCAAGCTCCTGCTATTTCCCCCCCCTTTTTCCCCCTCCCAGAAAGTGATAGTTTGATTGCCGGCTGCTTGTTAAGGTAGGGTCAGTCTAGCTCCCACAATCCCTTCCCCTCCCTCTTCCCCCCACTGAAAGGTGACGTGTGGGGCTCCGGTTAAACAGTAAATCACTCGACTCACAGCTCCCAACACTACTGTAAGTACACGCCTGATCATATTTTAGTGGACTTATTGGTTGAAAGCTTCACTTTTGACCAATAATTAACTTAGTCCTTTCAGTCTTGATAGGTTAAATGTTAATCACCACATCTTTTAGGTACTGTACTTATCATGGAGAGTGATTTCTTAAGCAGTGGGTAATCTGTCTCTCTTTACAGCTTGAAATGACAGAGAGGGTCACCTGCCAATCAACGAGTAGAATTGAAGGAGACGGACTAACTTCCTGAGGAAACCCCTCAGGAGGTAACCCCTCATCATTGCAGCAGTAAAGAACCTGCTTTCCTGTCATCGGGATAGATTATTCACTGCTATACTGTGAAGAACTATCCAGTGGATTGTCACCAACACCTGCGACCCCCCCCCCCTCATCAGCAACGGCTACGATTTCAACAACACGCAGTGACACCAACACCAGACACCCAAGTTTTATATGTATTAGCGTTGAATTCAGATATCATTTATATTTTTCATTTTTCATTTTCTTCAATGTAGGATCAATATTTCATGTTTAAGTGTTTTATATTTTATATTCTAATTAATAAAGTGTTTGTTTGTCAGTTTTTATTCTTTTTCTATGCATTAATTTTCCTGAGGAGGAGCCAGCCTTGGTAATACTGACTGAAGTTGTTACCGGGCTGAGTAAGCCTTCACAATTTATTTATCCTCATCAGTAATAATGGGAACCTTAGTAATAGTCGACTGGTGTGGGTCGCATCCCAGGACAAAATTGACCTAACTTGCCCGAAATGCTCTGAATAACAAGGGGCTTTCTATGTCAAATTGACTCAAACGAGTCAATTCTTTGACACGAAACATGTGAAATAGCATAGGCTATATTACCAAAATTACCATGATAGTTATCATTATTGCTTGAAAAAAAGTTATTAATAGCTCGATAAAATTATCATGAAACCTTTACAAAATTATCATATTTTGAAACCAACAAGATAACTTTATAAAGGTTACCATGACAGTTTTAACAAGTTATTATAACTTGATAAGTTATCACAATAGCTTTATAAAGCTCTTTAACCACAAATACTGCTATAAAAGTTTTACGATGTTTCATATGCCTTCGCTATGTACTTGTGAGCTTCCTGCCTCTTCAACCCACCTCAGTCCTTCTTGTCAATGCTTTTGGCAACAAGGGACGAGGATAATAAAATCCTGCAGGAGGATACAGGGAAGCTGCAGAAATGTTGACACGTGAGCAATGGAGCTAAATCTTAATAAATAATAAAAAAAACGTCAGCAAAAGGAAGGAAAGTAACTGGTTCCCTATCATTCTTATCCTTAATGTCTCTATTTACCTTGCAGTAAATAGGTGTACTTGCGTGTTATGTGACTGTATTGTTACTCCTGGAAAAATTAAACATATGCAGTATAATGCAATCACTTATTAACTACGTTTCACCCACACACTGGGCTTTTTCAGGTCACAAACAAAGGTATTTTATGCCTTTTATCTCCCTCGTTACACTTAATATCCCAGTTCACCAACAATAAATAGGTACCCGATTGTCAGGTATGGACAGTTTCCTAACATCTGATGCCTCTATTCATCTAGGAGTGGACGACAGCTGACCAGTCTTGGCTGTATACTAGGTGGTAGTATAACTTTGAAAAAGCTGGGCTTTTAGCTTGTAAAGTGAACTGTGAAGAAAAAAAGGGGCAAAGCAGCTGGAGTGGATATTATGCGTCTGTAGTCTGAAGCAGTGACCAACATGATGACCTCGACTGCGTATACGTACAAGGTTAGTGAATGTAAGAACAACTTTCAGGTACTGTACACCTGGTGGGGTTTTATATCACGAGTAATGTAAAAAAAATCGCATAAACTCTGGGCCAAGATGCATATACTGTACACTACATGCGCACATTACATACATAATGTTGGAATGTGAAGCGTCAGCATGGAGGACACTACAATGTAAAGTAGTGGAATTTGTATTGGTATTTTCTAAAGAGCTGAACCCGTGTAGGGCACAGCTCAGACTCCTGCAACACAATTGTCCTCAAAGGTTATACTGTGAATTAAGGAAAGATCCTGGACTTCACCTTACGAAACAGACAAATCAAATGCGATAGTAATTATGGACAAGGTAAATTATAGTGGAAAAATGAACATGTTATTAGAAAACGGGGGAACGTGTGGGCCCTTAAAGCAAAATAAGTCTGCGGGCCATGACATTCATGGGCTCTTCAAAACTGCCTTAAGTGAATCACTATGGATCAAGAGCCCTTTACCAGTATCAAGGTAACTGAGTAGAGGAGCAGCACTTACCTGAAGCCATGCACAGAGGGCCGCTTGATGTTGTCAAGGTTAGGCTTAGGAAGGTCACTCCAAGTCGGGATCTTCGTCGATCTCTTAATGGAAGCCCAGTCTGGTTTCAGGCTCTCCTGCAAGTGTAGGCTCTGTTATAACCAGCAGTCAACACCTCACACTTAGAATTACTAACTAATCCCGTACCAGAATTAGGAAGCCAGTGAGTCCATATTTAGGCTATGGGTGTACTTGAATAGTATACAAGACGAAAAATTACACACGTCGCTTTATCAGTACAAATTTGTACTGATAAAGCGACTGGATGGCGAAACATGTTGTGGAAAATACTGCATATTTTCCGGAAAATACGGTAATTTATAGGTAAATAGATGTCCTATATTGTATATAATAAAAAATTATGTTATCAAAAATGGGAAGAAGCTGCACCTGCGCAGAAGACACTCGCCATTATTGTTTTGAATTGAACAGAACGTTAGTGAATAATAATAAGAATTTTTTGTGCTCTAGAGGTTAAAATTGGGCTGACAACTCTCAAATAGGAGGCGAAATTGTTGGATGTGTATTCCTGCATAACTTGAGATTATCAGGTGACTGGACAAGACAACTCCAGGAACCTCAGATAAGTCTGTGATGTTTGTAACTCTGGCCAGTGTTATTTTCTTGTATATAGACAGTGAGGTTTTCTGAGTATGATACACCTTGATCTCCAGTCAAATTGGTGAGTGATATTAAGATATATTCTGTTATGTATATGTGTGTATATTTATATATATATATATATATATATATATATATATAACCATTTATTATATTTTAATATACAGTCCACAAAATTTATATATTTACCAGCATTCCTGGTGATACATATTTCATTTGTAATTAATAGGTCCAGAACAACTTGTGGATATGACAGTGGTAGGTATCGAAGGGGGACATTTTTTGCGACCTAGGTGTCCCAAATTCCTACTTGTCTAAACTGATAAATAATATTTATCTTTGTTCATTTACTGTTATGTACATAATGATACATTCAGATAAATGTAATTTTTCACACATGTATTGATAAAGCCTATGGATGGCGATACGTCTACAAATAAAGATACTCAGATATTGCATGCTTCTAATTCTTTATCGGGCGATTGGTGCACACGCAAAAATGTTGTAATCTTGAGAGCACATCAAAATGTACAATATGTACATTTACCTAAAGTCAAGGATCTGAATTAAGAACTGATCCCCAGAGTCACACTTAGGAACTTATCCCTAGAAGTAAAATTGAGAATTGATCTCCAGGATTAAAAAAAACAAGAGTCCCAGATTTAGAATTAGCGATTTATCCCTAATGTTAGAATTAATGACTGACCCCCAGAGACTAAATTTGGAATAATATTTTTATATTTTATTGGACTTCAAGTGTGTGAAATGCTAGCTGGAAAATTTGCTATTTTTATATTAATTAGGAAGCACTAAACCCGAAGAGGTGGGGGAGGAAGGCAATCAAGTTTGATCCAAGGAAAGGGAGGGTAGCTCTAATTCCCTTGACCAAGAGCCCTTCACCAGCATCAAGGAATTCCTCTTTACAGGGTAGAACTATTTTAAAAAATACCAGTTTTTTATCTCTCTCACCTTGGGCGTCGTCCCATGCGGGCCAGGGAATCTTGTCAACACCAGCCTTGACACCAGCCCAGGCAGCTGAGGGCAGCTGCTCCAGGCCGGGCTTAGGGCTGCCCTCAGCCTCCACGCCCCGGAAACACGATCCAAGAGCCTGGAAAGAAACACTTTGGTGATAAAGGGGAAAAAATAATTTTTTTTAACACTTGAATGTAAAGGTTTTGGAGAGCCGTTATTAAAACCTCGGTCACTTACAGGCTAAGGTTATCCAACCTCGGTTTTCATTTACAGGCGAGTTATAAAACCTCGGCTCTTTTTCAGGCTGATTTTACCCAACCTCGGTCATTTACAGGCCAAAAGGCTTTTTCCCCAACCTCAGCTCATTTACGGGCTAAGAGTTAAAAAAAACCTCGGCCCCAATTTACAGGCTAAGACTTTTTCCCCAAACCTCGGCTCTTTTTCCCAGGCTAAGGGGTTTTTACCCAAAACCTCGCTCATTTTCAGGCTAAAAAAGTGTTACCCAAAACCTCAGCTCTTTTTTCGGGCCCTAAAGCTGTTACCCAAACCCAGTCATTTTCAGGCTAAGAGCTTTTTTACCCAACCCCGGGCCTCATTTTCAGGCTAAGAGCTTTTAAACCAACCTCGGGCTCATTTACGGGTTTAAGAGTTTACCCAACCTCGGCTCTTTTTACGGGCTAAGATTTACCCAAAACCCTGGGGCTCATTTACAGGCTAAGAGCGTTACCCAAACCCTCAGCTCTTTTTTCCCCGGGGGGGGCTAAGATTTATTCGCCCCTGGGCTCATTTACGGGCTAAAAAGTTTTTCCCAAACCTCGGTCTTTTACAGGCAAAGGGTTTTACCCAAACCCCTGGGTCATTTTTTTTTTTTTACGGGGCCAAAGAGCTTTTTCCCCAAAACCTCAGCTCATTTTCAGGCTAAGACCGTTACCCCAACCCTCAGCTCTTTTACGGGCTAAAGTTACCCAAAACTCGGTTTTTTTTTACAGGCTAAAAAGTTACCCAAACCCTTTCAGCTCATTCCCCTGGAGGTTACCTGGGGGGTTTTTATTCCGGGGTAAAAACGCCCCGCGGCCCGGCCAAACGACCAGGCCCCCGAGGGACCCGGGGCCTAAATCAACTACCCTGTTACGGGCTGGCCGCACCAGTCCGACGTACGACCCACAGCCCGGCTGACCCGGGCCCACCCGACTTTAGGTATCTGTCCAGCTCTCTCTTGAAGGCACCAGGGGTTTATTGGCAATTCCCCAAAATGCTTGATGGGGGTGTTTTAACAGTTTGGGCCCCCCGGACACTTAAAGGTGTTTTCTCCCCCTTTGTGTACCAATGGCGCCCCTACTTTTTATTGGCGGCATTTTGCATCCCCTGCCCCTTCTTTTACTTTCGTAGGGAGTGATTTCTGGGGTACAGAAATTTGGGGGCCATTCCCTTCCCCAAAATTTTTCCCCAAATGTAGATTATGTTTTTAAAACCTCCCCCCTATTTTCCCAAAGGTCAAAATTTAAGTGCTTCCAAGCGGGGTTCCCGTAGTTTAAAGGGGCTTGGGCAACTTATACGTGCATAAAGGATCCCCTGTAAACTCTTAGATCTGGATTTCACCTGCTTTTTATGGAGATGTTAATGTACGGGGGTATTCCCCGCCCTAAGAGAACAAGGGGATTTTTAAAAAAGGGTCATTCATGGGGTTGGCATCTCTCTTTTGAAAATTTTTCATTATCCTCCTTTCATTTTCTTTTCACGTGCGTTTGTGGCACTGTTTTTGATCCTTGAAAGGGGATCCCAGACCCTTATACTCCCCGGTCCCCTTTCATTTTTTTTCCCCCCCCCTATTGAGGGGCCCGGGGTCAGTAGTAACTCTGTTCTAGTTTTTTCTCCTCCAGTTTTTCCCTAACGGGAGTAGTTTTTAAATTTTTCCCCATTGAACATTAAAATTGTTTTTTCCGTTTTCCCACCCGGAAACCCTTTTTTTATATCTTTTTTGGAGGGTTTAACCGCGTCCCTAGCAGATGACAAACCCCATGCAGATCCTAGTATATCCCCCAAAGGATGATACGGTGGGTGTGGGTGTTAAAATCTGTTTATGTTGAATGAGGTTAAGGGAAAAAAGATGGGGGCGAGTACTGTGGGCCCTTTTGGAAAAAGAGTCTTCACTAAGGCAGCCCCCCGATTAACTCTGTTGACCACTACTCTTTTTGTTCGATTTGTTTTGGAAAATTGGAAAGATCCATCCCCCACTTTCCAGTTATTCCTTTGAAGTTTTTTTTTTATGGGCTATTACGCCCAGGGTCGCATTTGTCAAATGCTTTTTCAAAGTCTGTGATATTACATCTGCTTTTTGGGTTTTTTTTCCAGTGCATCCCAAGGGGCCCTGTCTAGTGATCCAGTAGTTGTGGGGAGGCAGGAGCGGGCCTGCCCCGAACCCTGTTGCCCCGGATTGTGCAGATTTTTGGGGAAACCAGGTGATTTGCAATCCTGCTTCCCCTTTGCACTATTTCCAAAAAATTTTTTTTTGATGTGGGATGTCAGAGCTATTGGGCAAAATTTTTTGCTAAAGCTTTGCTGCCCCTTTTTTGGAGTGGGGCTTTTATCCCTTGTTTTTTAAAAGGGCTGTGGAAAATTTTACCCATGTCCCAAATCCCCCCTCCATAGTGTACTTAGGGCAGCGAAGGGGTTTTCTTTCAGTTTTTAATGAAAACAGAGGGGTTTCCCCGAGTCTGGGCCCCGGGGCCCGAGGGGCATTGGCATGTTGGGCAATGGCTTTTCGAAATTTTATTTGGAGTTAGGGTTTTAAAGTCGGAAATCTGGCATACATTTTTTGGGTTTTGAGGCTCAAATTTAGAAGAAAACATTTGGGGGTCGATCCTCAGACCGGGGGGGGGGGGGGACTAAAAACAGAGTTTTGGGGTTTCAATATTTAATCATTTTTCCCTTTTTGTTCCCTCCTTTTTTGTAAGTCCCCCTCCGTCTGAGTAAAGGGCCCCATAATAGATGTGGGGATTTGCCTTGTTTTTTTGGGAAATGAAAAGAAATTTTGAATTTCTTTCAATTTCACTAATACTTTAAGCTCCTCCTCCCTCCTTCACGGGCCTAAGAGTTACCCAAACCCTCAGCTCATTTACAGGCTAAGAGCTGTTACCCAACCTCAGCTCTTTTTACAGGCTAAGAGTTATCCAACCTCAGCTCATTTACAGGCTAAGAGCTGTTACCCAACCTCAGCTCATTTACAGGCTAAGAGTTATCCAACCTCAGCTCATTTACAGGCTAAGATTTATCCAACCTCGGCTCATTTACAGGCTAAGAGTTATCCAACCTCGGCTCATTTACAGGCTAAGAGTTATCCAACCTCGGCTCATTTACAGGCTAAGAGTTATCCAACCTCGGCTCATTTACGGGCCTAAGAGCTGTTATCCTACGTCAAATCTAAATCTTAGGCTATCTTGGGTGTTTTGCATTGAAATCATTAACAGCCCCCCGGGTTGAGACCCA